TCCTGGGGTTGGGAAAGCCACATAGAAGTCTTCCACAGTGGGAAGGAGTTTGTTCTTGCCTGACATTATGTGTTCATCAAAACTGCAGCCGCATTACCCTGCAGACAAATAGTTATTTCCATTCTACACAGTTCCTATTACAGGGAGATTATTATTGTAAGAGTGTATTACAGAAGAAAAGAAAATGTTCTGGGGATTTTTTTTTTTTCATTTTCATACCTTTTATCTCTGGAGCTTATATTTGTATTTGCCTCAATCAGGCATGGGTTGTGGTGTGTGTGAATGTTTGTCCCTTAAAGCTTGTGATAAACTCACTTTTCTATTAAAAAGTTTAAATACTTGTTATAAATAATTTCTCCATATTTGTATGCTTTGATCTAATCTACTGCGTAGTTTTAGCTAAAATGGTTGTGGTTCTAAAGATTACAAGTATTAGGAGGAAGAAATAAGTTGTAGAAATTATCTTCAGCTTGCAGCTTGCTTTACAAAGGTTTAAAGTGCCCTTTCTTTCCTAACTCCATCTAAAGAGCTTCTGACCCACTCTTTTTCATGTACAGTCACCAATCTAATAATAATAATAATAATAATTTTTAGATGGGATCAATAAGGCCATTGCTTTACACTTAAGAATTCTAACAGAACTTTAATATTAATAAGCAAACACCTTCAGAAGTAGAGTTACTGCTTAGGCATTCAGAGAACTTAGTCTGTACTCCTGATAAACACTTGAGCTCCCTGTGCTTTACCATTACTGCAGATTTAAAGCCCAAGGATGTGTTTGAAATAACGTGTTGAAAATCCATTGGTACAGAACCGGTTCTGTTCTTCATTATTTATGTGCTGTCTCAAAGGCTTATTACGGTACAATCCAAATCACAAATCTCCTGGGCCCCCATTCACAGAAACTGAAATCACCATTTGGGTACCTGGGCATTTGTGCTGACAGTGAGTTTAATGTTGTTGTGCAAGAATCAGATTTGTAGTGGGCAGTTCTCGAGAGGTTTGGTATCCAAACTCTCCAGGCTATCTTGGAAAACCTGCAAAATCAGTGCTATTAGTAGACGCAGCTCAGGATTAAAAGTAAGCTTGAAGCTGCCAGATTTTGCAGCTTTCTATGTAAGGGTTGCAGTGCTCTAGCTGGTTACCCCAGAACAAAAATAACATTTCCTTTTCAGAGTCCTTAATTAGTAATTTTTTTTTTATTTATTTAGCTGTGGGCAGAATGGGAATCTTGGAAAGAGATCAGCTTCTGTAATTAAACAGACTTCCTGAGTGCCACTACTTTGGAAAGAGTTTAATCTTTGTTACAGTGGTGCCCATGCAGTATGCTGAACAGGAAGACTGGACAATGGAAGCAGAATTAGCACCACCAACGTGCCTTCCACAGAGCAGACATCTAACATCAACTTCATCTTCTGAAGTTAGTACCTGTTTTCATAAAGTTTTCCGTATTTTCCTTAAACAATAACCTGTATAGGGCATGTGCAAATTATCTAGCTCCCTGCACTCTTTGAAAACATCCCTTTTGCAGTTCAGGCTTCAATTTGCTATCACCCCATCAAAAGAAGCTGTCCAAATGCTCAAAAAAAACCAAAAAAATCACACAGCAGATGAAGCAGCTTACTGAAAGCAGGCTGCCTTTCCTCCCTGGTCTAGCAGAGCATGATTATGAAGAGACAATAATAGAGGTATGCGAATACTGTGAAAACAAGTTATCGTAAAATACTTCCATAAGACAAACAAAACCAGCAAAACAACCACAGTACTATTTGCTGGCCAGCTACAGCTCCTTGTGCAGCTTCACTTAGGCAAAGGAGTGGGAGAAAATAAAGAAACTGTCTGGCTGTTATCCTCATCAATAGGAGGACTGCGTTTGTGCGTAGGGCCTGTATCAACTTCTACCCCCTCCCCTGTTTCTTTTAATTTGCAGGGATTGCTGGAAGATCTGGAGTGCTCAAAGAACAGCTATGGGCCTCAGAGCCCAGCTTGCAGGATTTGCCTCTGCAGCCAGCTAGACGGATGTCAAGGCCACTGCAGTCCTGCTCTGCCTCTGTACTGTGTACCTAAGATCCCGCATCAGGAACAGCTCAGCTGGAGCTGAAAACAAGGTTACAGATGCATAAATTTGGGGCATTTTGTATATTTTGATAATGCAGTTTTCCTGTACTAACTGTGCCCTGATACATCACTGCCCATAAATCTTTACCTGAAGGCAGATGAGGAACAGGAATGAGCAACAACAAAAAAAATCCCAACCCTGCTGCCTTCATGGAAGAAAGAGATAAAGTCCAAAGAGGAAACAGGAAATTGTCAACTTAAACCTAAGAATTTTAAGAATTTCCTAGCGAAGGATGGTCTCTCCCCATGATTTTGTTTTACCATAGTAACCTGTCGGCTATCAGGGCCACCTGACCCCAGAATCACTGAGCCAAGGGAGGCTACGGTGCCTTGCCTCTCTCAAAGTCTGCTGTGCTCACCAGGAGTTTGAGGTGGGGAGCCATCACCCTGCAGTTGCATCCGGCATGTTGCTCCCAGCCTATCCCCAATCTACAGTAGGAATTTGGGGTGGAATTTGCCCAGCATTATACCTGCTACTTCAATTCAGCTTTGAAATGGCTAATGCATTGAAATAAAACTGGTTTTACTATCATCTTGTGTGTGTTAGGCACTGCCACTTCATCCTTTTCACAAATCCTCACATTTATCACCAAACAGCTTAAAAAGCAACAAAGGGTTATAACTGACTTGACCATAGATGTCGTGAGGCGTCACCATTATACCTTCTCCTCCTGTTGGCTCCAGCTATTGCCAGATCACTGTCAACTCAGTCATATACAATAATGCCCCATTACAGTTGGAATGGTTTGTTAAACTTTATAGCACTTAGAAATGCTCCTGAGGCACCAAAAATGTCTTGATTCAGAATTGAACATATAATACCTGCTAAATTTGCAGGTTTGAAACCACTTCCAATAAGAATTAAAAAGGCCCTCTTCACAGCTGAAATAGGGCTATCAATACTTGACTTGTCTGCCCATGTGAAATAGCGGGTTCTTTTCTCTGACGTCGCAATTTAGTTTAAAATAGCTTTGATGATGACAGGGTACACGCGAGTGATAAAACCATAAAGATGACAGTCTAATCTTACAAAGATGACCGATCACTGATAAGAGATTAAGTCACACAACATTTGAAAAACCAGATTATCTGTCTGCTAAGATAGTGTCTGTGTACACCCCCTGCCGAGCCATGCTGAGATGCCAACATATACAAAGTTGCTACTTCTTAAAAACCAGAAATGCTTCACAGAATTTCTCAAACCATTGGGTTAAAAGAAAGAAAGCAAGTAAGACAAAAAGCTCTGATCTTATATTGAGCTTTTTTTGTCAAACATTCATTTTTCAGGCTGGTAAAGTATTTAAATGTACAGCATATAAATAATTTAGAGACACTATAAAAAGGTCTAAATTAGCCAATTCTGCCCTATAATTAGCACTCACAGCTATGCTGGCAATGGGTGGGTGATTATTAAACACCTTTTATTATCGGTTTTATGTACTACAATAAAAAAATGAAAATTATACTTACAAGAATTATTAGACATGCTGGTCCTATAAAACTCCATATAAAGTTATTCTTTGTGCTGAGCCAACATCTGAAAAGTAAAGAGCAGAAAATGCCTTGAAATGTGCTATTGCATCCTTATGTGTGTTGATTAGGACACAGAAACAGTGACTTACACTTCTGTGGTGCCATAGTACTTGTATCCCAGTGCAGCGGAGATTCCAACGACCACGGCTGGACTGACGTAGCCAAAGACATAGAAATTCTTGTGCAAGAAACCCTTGTTGTAGATGACTCCCACAACTATAAGGTAGAGGTGAATACCTTCAATGCACATCCATGCAAAAGCAGCTAGAAGGAAATAATGGAGTAATCCAGCAGTAATTGAACAGAAGAGCTAGAAATTCAATCAGAGAAAGCAAGAGTCATAATTCTATTAATATGTCTCTGTTAATATAACAGCATATGCATAGCAACCTAGTGACTCTAAAGTGGTGGTCCAGCAGCGCAGATGTAATGCTGATTGACAAGAACTTGGCCTACACCCATGAGCACACTTGTTCATTAGCATTTTCTGTAGCAACTGGTAAAATAAACAGACTACATTTAACTTTTAAGATTGGTGCCCGTCTTCCCAGGAAGACTGTATAAACAAATTGACAAGGTTGATGTCATAGTTACAACTAAGTAGTCTATATGCTTTCCTGATCTAGACAAAGTTCATCTTTATGATTTTGATAACAATGTAATTAGGCATCACAAGAAATTATTTCCAAAATAACTTTTGTTACTACAAAATGTTTGTAAAATGATATTTCTCAATCAATCAACACTGGAGTGCTACCTCAGGGATAGCAGCTCATGTTTTTTCAAGTAATTTTAAATCCTATTCAGCTACTTATAGTAAGGGTATTTTGATAATTTATGTATAATTTAATTTCCCAAAACTAGTCTGAGATGCAAAAATCAACAGCCCAACTTGTACGAAAAGTTACAGGGACAGGTCAAGACCTCATGCATAGAAGGGAAAGGGGCCCTCCAGCCAACAGCGCAGTACCTTAAATGCCAGCTTGGGACTGCAGCTCTGACCTGGCTTTCAGAGAAAATTGTCACCCAGAGAGCCACCAGTGTGGCTTTGTACAGCATCCAAATGGATGTGAAAAGTGAACACGCCAGACACATCGAGACCACAGTCTCAGCTAAGGTGACAAAGTTTAATTGAAACCCATGGAGCAAAGTCAATATACACCAGCTGAGACGAAGGCCCTACTTCTTTAAATGACCATTTTATATTTCCTGTTACTAGACTGGGAAGTCAGTGCCACTAGAATATTCGTACTGATACTAGGAAATACTGGAAGTGGATGGAAGGTTGTATCTTATACTCTATATTTACTTTACAACGCAAAATCAAGATACAAGTGAAAACTACCCACCTTATTATTGTTCATATTAATTCCAATCAGAAAAATAAGTTCCGCCAGGAAAAGGCTGCAGCAGAGGTTTTTGTGAATTGTCGTTCTAGTGCTTTGAATTTCACTGAAGAACCAGAATGTAAAAATGCACATGGAGAGGCAAATCAACGAAATAATTATTCCTAGCTGAGTGATTCTTGTAAGAATGTTATAATTTGTAACACCCTGGGGGAAAATTATAATATAATATTTAAAAGAATAGCTTTGTACCTTCTCAAGAAAGACCTCGTTCTGTAATACAGTTCTTTTCTTCTTTTCTACAAAATATTAATCAAAACTGTTTGTAGAGTTTCACTGCAAATGTACACTTTGGATAATCTAAAAAGTATTGTTTTTTTGTGAGACTGATATAATTCTAGGGGAAATTAGTAATGAACT